AACGCTTGGGGGGCGGGGGCGCACGAAGGACGGCGGAGGTACCAAGCAGCTGACGTTGCCTTATTGAGGTTGCAATCTTTAAGGCACTAAAAAGCCCCCGAGTAAAACGAGCCCGGAGCGTCTCTTACCCTTTGCTCATGCCCCCCTCTGCCTCTTGTTTTTGCATCCTCTCGCTGGGTGCGGGATGGAAAACCCCAAAACCTCTCATCTATTGAGCAGAGGGAAATGAGGTGCTGGGTTTGTTTTAATTGCAAGCCCTAAGATGATGGACCAGATAAGGCAGCCCTTTTGCTTGAGGGTCGCTGGCGGGTTCCTTGTACAAAGCAAACAGTCGATCCGCGCGGGGGTGGGTTTTTGACGCTCGCTTCGGCAGAGCCTTGTTGCGAGATCTCCTCTTCTATCTCTTCCCCGAGTAGCCTCGGTCACCTCACTTTGCCTCAATGAACAAATTCATAAAAGGGACCTAGCAGCGATTGCTTACCGCTTTGCTGTGCAGCTTGTCACACACAAAAACTGCTCCTATTTTTTGGGGCAGTGCCAGAAAAATCCCCAGCGAGGATCGGAGCTGCAAATTGGTTCACTGCCTTTGATCGCTCTATACGTGTTCGGGCTCCAGCAGCGGAGGAGCTGAGCATACGCCGATGGTGCTCTGGTTGTTCCGAAGGCGTGATCCTTTCTCTTGAACTTTGTTCTTGTTTACTCAGGAATAAACCCCACTGCGCTCAATAGGACTTAGTCTCTGGGTAAGCATGCGGAGGACTGTAGCCTTAGATTGCAAACCTGGGCATGTTTACTCAAGGAGTAGCGCATACCATGTTCAGGGTTTTAATCCCTTCTTAGCATGCATATGACTGTCTCCTGAATGGCTCTAACTCCATGGTGCAACCATCCTGAGGAGTGAGTGCTCATCACTCCCACTGCACAGGTGGAACTGGAAAAAAAGAGGTAAGAGCTCCAGGTTGCATCGTGGATGAAGTGGGACCTATAGCTCTGGCGGGGTGAAACAAATCCTTCCGGGTGGCTGAACAGGGCTTGGGGAGGAGAGCTCCTTGCTTATCGCAGGGTTTAGAAACCCGGGGTTTGTGCACAAGTCTTTCATTCTGCGATCCCGAATATTTTTAGCTAGGAAGACTCAAAGTTTCGGAGCGTATCCCCTCCACACACATACACACATACTCAGCAGAGTGCTCCTTTAGAACAAGCAGACGTTTCCAGGTGCAGCAGGAGGGATCAAGAGTGATGGGAAATCTTCACCGGCAGCACATTTGCCTGTTCCACTGTTATGTCCTGGAAACCGACGGGGCGGGTTTGTTGCTCCGAAGTGTGAGCTCCCAAAACGCGCTTGTTTTTACCTCCGGATCCCTCCGCAGCAACTTGGAGAAAACTAAAACCGGCTGAGAAGGCGAGAAAGTTGCGATCCCCAGACCGAAACTCTCTTTTTAAGCCCCCCCCCCCCAAGGAAGCCGGGCGTGCTGTCGAGGAAAAGGAACCTTTTGTTCCTCGGTTCCTTCACTTACCCCCAGTCTCCTCCCTGGCAGCCGTCCGCGCCGCTTCCTGACGCCGACCCTTCCGGCTCCCAAATTTGGGACGCTTTCCTCTCACACCACCGCGGAGAGAAAGCCTGTTGAGGGAAGACCTCCTCCCACTTTTGTCTTCCGGTTGGGGGGGAGAGAAAGTTGGGGAGAAGGAGGTACCATCGACCCCTCCCTCCCTCCCTCCCCCTCGTGGGTCCCTCTCTGAGATTAAAAGGCGCCCCCTTCTCAGGTAGCGCGAAGGATTGCGTTCCTTTTAAAAAGCATCCTGAGTTGGGAAAGATACGTTTTTGAAGATTTGCAGACGTTATTATTGTGCGGCCCCTCTCTTCCTCCCCCCACCCCGCCCTTTATTTAGGAAGGGTTCTTCTGCCTAAAACACGAGAGGCGCCGCAACAGGTCGGGGGGAGTTTCATCTACAGGGAGGTATAGGAGCCCCCACCACAAAAAAGGTGGGATTCCAAGCTGTCTCGGATCTTCCCAGCGGAGACGGGCACAGACCTCACTTACTTCTGGCTAGGATGGGCCTTGCTTCTTAAGAGCTAGGAGGACGGTGGCGGCTGCCTCCGTTCTCCACCTGGGAACTGGAGCAGTGTTCGCTTAGAAGTCCTCACAGGAGTTGCTTATGCCGGCGAATCAGCATTTGGGGGTAGGCGGCACGGGGGCGTATAGGGAAGAGTCAGAAGAGCTTTCTGGTGAGGTAGGATTGCTGTCCCCTTCATGGATTGCTGCCTTGTCCTGGCGAAGGGGCTTCAGTAATTCAGAGAAGCTATGGGCTATGCCGTGCAGGGACACCCAAGGCGGACGGGTCATAGTGGAGAGTTCGGACTAAACGCAATCCACCTGGAGGAGGAACTGGCAAGCCACTCTAGTATCTTTGCCAAAAAAAAACCCCTCCATGGACAGAAACAAAAGGCTGAAAGATATGACGCTGGAAGATGAGCCCCTCAGGTCAAAAGGCGTCCAACATACTACTGAGGAAGAGCGGAGGACAAGTACAAGTAGCTCCAGAGCTAATGAAGTGGTTGGGCCAAAGCCGAAAGGACGCTTAGCTGCGGACGCGCCTGGAAGTGAAAGGAAAGTCCAGTGCTGGAAAGAAAAATACTGCATAGGAACCTGGAATGTAAGATCTATGAATCTTGGTAACCTGGATGTAGTCAAACAGGAGATGGCAAGAAGAAACATTGACATCCTGGGCGTCAGTGAACTAAAATGGATGGGAATGGGCAAATTCAATTCAGACAATTATCATATGTACTATTGTGGGCAAGAATCCCGTAGAAGAAATGGAGTAGCCCTCACAGTCAACAAAAGAGTGGGAAAAGCTGTATTGGGATACAATCTCAAAAAATGATAGAATGATTTCAATACGAATCCAAGGCACACCTTTCAACATCCCCGTAATCTAAGTTTATGCACCAACCACCAATGCTGAAGAGGCTGAAATTGACCAATTCTATGAAGACTTACGACACCTTCTAGAACTGACAACAAAGAACGATGTTCTTCTCATTATAGGGGACTGGAATGCTAAAGTAGGGAATCAAGAGATAAAAGGAACAACAGGAAAGTTTGGCTTTGGAGTTCAAAATGAAGCAGAGCGAAGGCTAATAGAGTTTTGTCAAGACAACAAGCTGATCATCACAAACACTCTTTTCCAACAACACAAGAGGCCTCTACACATGGACCTCACCAGATGGGCAACACCAAAATCAGATTGATTATGTTCTCTGCAGCCAAAGATGGAGAAGCTCTATACAGTCAGCAAAAACAAGACCTGGAGCTGATTGTGGCTCTGATCATCAGCTTCTTATATCAAAATTCAAGCTTAAACTGAAGAAAGTAGGAAAAGCCACTGGGCTAGTCAGGCATAATCTAAACCAAATCCCTTATGACAGTGATCCCCAACCTTGGGCCTCCAGATGTTCTTGGACTACACCTCCCAAAAGCCTTCATCACCAGCTCTGCTGAGCAGGATTCCTGGGAGTTGAAGTCCAAGAATATCTGGAGGCCCAAGGTTGAGGACCACTGCCTTATGAATAAACAGTGGAAGTGAAGAACAGATGTAAGGAACTAGATTTGGTGGACAGAGTGCCTGAAGAACTATAGATGGAGGCTCATAACATTGTACAGGAGGCAGCAACAAAAACCATCCCAAAGAAAAGGAAATGCAAGAAAGCAAAGTGGCTGTCCAACGAGGCCTTACAAATAACAGAGAAGAGAAGGAAAACAAAATGCAAGGGAGATAGGGA